GTATGTTTTCTTTCAGTTACTATTATACTTGCAATGTCATAAAGATGCTTTCCATTTTTTTTTTTGGGGGGGGGGGGGGGGGATGACGTGGCCATTGGTAAAAGTAATAAAATTTATCACAGATAGAAATAGGTCTATATCCTCTCTATTTTCTGTCCCCAAGTAGTTTCTGAACAGTCTGAATCACTTGGTATCTTTGGTGGGTTTTGATTTTATATCCCCAATTTACTCCAGTAGATAGTCGGCTCTGTGGCTAAGTCGATGCGAACGCTTCGCTTTGTAATGCCGGGATGCCAGGTTCGATCACAGCTGCGGGCAATGCGCCTCGCGTTGGTTTCGACAGTGGTATCAAGAAAGCCGACCGTCCAGAAGCAATGGCAAACTACTGGATGTAAATTGCCTAGAGAAACCACACAACAGCCAGGGGCTGTTAGGGTTGGTTCTGCAACGTCCTGTAAAGGATACGCAACTAACTAACTAGCTCTAGTAGATTAACACAAATTACAGAGGAACTTGGTTTATCGAAGTCACGATCCGTTTAGGAAGACAACAAATACAATAAGAAATGGCGCGAATCTCCCTTAGTCCGTACCAGGACATCACAACAAAGTCAAACTTAAATGAAGATGTTAACTGTAGGTCTACAGTGGGGAACCAGCCCTGAGCTTCATGAACTCAGGAGGGCCCACCTCCGAATGCGTCTATGAATCGTGGGCCGAAACGCGTGTCGACGAGGATAATTTCTACTGATGACTGGTAGATCCCCGCTGTACTTGCTCCCTGTGAGTTTATTCCTATTGTACGTGGCTAGCCCACAAGACTACCAGGAAAGACTGGTGACTATCGGGAAAGACCTTTTGACACCTATGGAAAGACTGGCCCCCCGGTATCGCCGGGGGGATAAACTGACATTTGGAGACAGATGTCGACTGTGGACCGGGTTGATCACCCCTAACACAGTATAATGCCTCCGATTTCGAACAACCACAAAGAAATATGCCCCCAGGGCCCTCCGAAAAAAGGGGGGGGGGGGAGAATGAAGGGCCCAATCCAATTGATACTCTCGGTGACGACTTTGCTAGCCCTCGGACTCAGATACTCGCCCAACGTCCGGGCTGGCTCTGTACATGAGGGAAAAGCTTCACGGGGTTGCATGGTCTGAGAACGCATGCCGGAAGAATGAAATGCGAGGGTGCTCCACACAGTAAACGCCGTCGCAAAACTACTACTCCTGTGGTAGTTTCTGAGTCGTCAGGGTACGACGGGCAGGGTGAACCCCACTCGCCCGGAGAGGCCCATGACGTCGACTGCGGAGGAGCACCTTTGATGATTTCTGAAGAAGTGCGTTCCAGAATCAGGTTTCCACCTGCAAGCGAGAAGGTGGTGTGGTGTAAGTTGGAGGCTACATTATGTGAGGTACTTAAGCAAACTCTAAACAAGAAGTCGCTAGGCGACAAGCTTACAAAATTTGGTGATGTAATATATGAACACTGCTCCCGCGAGTTCAGGACAGTAGTAAAGGCACAGCCGGGTGCCAAGCAGAATACTAGCAGGAGGCAGAGGGACATTCTGAAGTGTCGGTCAGACAAGAATGCCCTCAGAAAACGGTTCAAAGCCGCTACAGGCAGCGAACGGGAGGGGCTGTATGAAGTTTGGTTGCATTTAAAGAACAAACACAGTGCCCTCTGTCGCGCCGAGCGTTTCTGTAACAACAGACGTAGAACCAAAAGGGAGCGAGAGAAATTCTTTAGGGACCCGTATCAGTTTGCCCGAGGTCTATTCGAGCAACCGAAGTCTGGGACTCTGGTTGTCAGTCAGGAAGAACTAGAGCTACATCTACGCAAGATGTACTCTGACAAAAAGAGGAGAGAGCCTCTCGATGACAATCCAGAGATCCTTAGCGGTCTTAAACAGCCTTCGGTGCCGAAGGTACCATTTAAAATGGTACCTCCCCTTTGGTCTGAGGTTGAGGAAGTTGTGAAAAAGGCCAGCGGCAAGTCTGCCCCAGGTCCGAACGGTGTCCCGTACGTTCTTTACAAGCGTTGCCCGAAAATCCTTAAAATGCTTCACGTCTTGTTGAGACAAGCGTGGATCCGCAATCACATATGTCCAGAGTGGTCAAAGGCAAATGGGGTCTACATTCCCAAAGAGCAGGACTCGAAGAGTCTTTCCCAATTCAGGCCCATCTCGCTGTTGAATGTCGAGGGTAAGATATTCTTCTCAGTCATGGCTCGCCGGCTCGAGCAATATTTCTCCAAGTTCGCTTTGCGCTTCTCTACCTCGACGTTTACCACGAGGTGGACTGAGTTGCAGATTGGGATAGCTATGGGCTGTACGGTCTCACCTATACTGTTTGTCATGGCAATGCAGATCATGTTAGACGGGGCAGCCGGCTACGGGCAGGGCCTTCAAATAGGGGATCACTGGTTGCCGCCACTACGCGCATTTATGGATGACACGACTATAATAACGGGCAGCGAGGAGTCTGCCCGCACGATCCTGAAAAGATTGGACGCGGTGGTCCAATGAAGCGGTATGCAGTTCAAACCGCAGAAGTCGAGGAGTCTGTCAATCCATAAGGGCAAGGTGTCGGCAATCAGTTTTACGGTGGCAAGGAACAAGATCCCTACGGTTCTGGAGGAACCGGTGAAGAGTCTCGGTCGCGTTTACGATTCGAAGTTATCTGATAGAGCGGAGGTCCGGCGAATACACGAGTCACTGGCTACAGGCCTGCTCGCGATCGAGCGATGCAGGCTGATCGGAAAATTCAAGGTATGGTGTCTCCAATTCATGTTGATTTCGAAGCTCCTATGGCCACTGTTAGTCTACGAGGTGACGATGACTGCAGTGGAAACCATGGAGAAGAAAATCAACACAGCCTTGAGAAAGTGGATTGGTGCACCGCCTTGTCTGACCGACGTGGCTCTGTATTGTAAACAGGCTAAGCTGGTACTTCCGTTCAAATCAATAACAGAAGAGTTTAAAGTCGGCAAGGTAAGGCTCGCCATGCTCTTACGCGAGTCTTCAGACCCAAATGTCATCGCTGTCCAGCCCGCTCTAAAGACTGGAACCAAGTGGAGAGTCCTCGATGCGATAGAATCTGCCCAGAATGAATTAAAATTGAAGGAGATAATGGGATACACACAAACCGACCGTCGAGGCCTAGGGCACGGGAAGGTCAATTGGTGGTCAAAGGCCTCAGCCAAAGAGCGCCGAGACATGGTAATACAAACGGTGAGGGACAACGAAAACGAGGTTCGGGTCCAGAAAGCAGCCCAGCAGTCGCAGCAGGGCCATTGGGTCAGCCTGGAGAGCGCATTGCCAAGAATACTCACATGGGGTGAGATCTGGCGGATGACCCCGCTGCAACTGAGCTTTATTGTTCGTTCGGCGTACGATGTATTACCGTCCGGTGTTAACATGGTTAAATGGTCTGCGACCAACGATCCGACTTGCCCGTTGTGTAAATCGAAGAAAACTCTTGAGCACGTCCTGTCCGCGTGCAGGAAAGCCCTAGGTCAAGGCCGATACACCTGGAGACACAACAAGGTGCTAAAAGAGTTAGCAGCCGTTGTCGACCAGGCTAGAATGAGGGCTAACGCAAGAGCCAATTCTAGCATCGTCCCCATTCGTTTCCTCAAGGCTGGGCAGGTTCCAAAAGGTAAGGTCAACCAAAACGCATTCGCTCCATCTGTGCTAGACTCTGCGAGGGACTGGTTACTGGCGGTTGATCTGCCAGGCCATGAACGGTACCCCGAGTTGATCCGTAAAACCGGCCTGCGACCGGACATCGTTCTCCCTTCTGCGCAAAAACGGCAGCTCACCCTGATTGAGTTGACTGTCCCGTTTGAGTCGCGTATGGAGGAGAATCATTTGTACAAGCTCGAGAAGTACAGTGATTTAGCAGCCGGTCTGAGGAGAAACGAGGCTTACACAGTACGGGTATTTGCCGTCTAAGTGGGAGCGAGAGGCCTCGTTTCCATTTCGCTCTACAATGTGGTGAAAGAACTAGGATTGCGCGGTAATGTACGGAAACGAACACTCAAAAAACTGGGAGAGGCAGCCGAAAGGGCCTCTAGCTGGCTTTGGACGCAGCGCAACAACGTAGAGGACGGGCCTCGGTGAGCTGGTCCGGGTGTCTAGTGGAAAAGGGTTTTTCACCCCTTTGAAAGTCCATCGTGTCCGAATTGTCTGCCAGTGTTCCTTTGCCAACTGCTAATTAAAGTCCAACATGTGTCAGGTAAACCAAAGTAAGCTTGTCGCTCGGTCGTCCAGGCATGCTGACTGCTTTAATTAGGCTGCCGTGGCGACTTCTTATCTCACAGTACCTCCTGCGAAACCACCAAGTCGTCTTGTCTCTGGCCGAAAGAATAACACCATCCGGTAATTCCGTACAGCGGGGAACCAGCCCTGAGCTTCATGAACTCAGGAGGGCCCACCTCCGAAAGCGTCTAGGAATCGTGGGCCGAAACGCGTGTCGACGAGGATAATTTCTACTGATGACTGGTAGATCCCCGCTGTACTTGCTCCCTGTGAGTTTATTCCTATTGCCAGGAAAAACACAAATATGCCAAAACATGCCAGTTCATTATCTTATGTCAGTTCAATTTCAAATATGCCAAATTTGAGGAATCTGGCATAAAAAATGCCAATATGGCCACCCTGTCTCCACTATGGTAAAGTATCTAGTTTCCTGCAACAGAGAAACGAACTGCAATATATTATTAAACAATACCGAATAATGAAAGTTATGGGTCGTAATATTTGGAAAACTGCAAAATAAAAGCGATTTTTCTTTAATTTGTGCGCAATTATTATGTGTGCCTGAAACAATAATCTAATTGAATCCTCCTATTTCTCTCCAAGTTTGTGTCACAAGTTTTCTTAGTTGCGTCCAATTTTTTTAACTCGAATAAGGAAGTTTATAGGTAGGAAAGTGTACTTAACTAATAATAGTAAATACTAGTAGCAGCAGTAGTCACTACATTTTCATTCATGACATGTCAACCTCATCAAGACCATCAAGACCACCGCCACCTGTTCCTAAGCCAGGTAAAAATCTTTTTTTTTTTTTTTTAAGAGAAGCAGATTATTGAGTTGCACTAGTACTTTGCTTCTCTAAAGGGTGCTACTGCTAGTGAAGTTCTAAGATTGGGTTGTTATGTTACTTATGAAACCATCAATCACAGCTGGACAGAGATTAAAATATCAAATCCATTGATGCCCCAGTGAAGCTTGTAAGTCAGTTCTAAGCGTAGACATTCATCATCATGTAGCAAGTCCTTTCATCATCATGTAGCAAGTCCTTTCATCATCATGTAGCAAGTCCTTTGCAGAACATCGCTCTCATCATGGTCTGCCTGAAAGAAACTCGGCCTCTCGTCAGCTCTCCCACTTCATTCATGCACTTTCATACTCAAGGAGTCACTTATATCCTGTGCCCATCTTTGTGTTGGTGAGCCCCTGCCCCTCCTTCCTGGTACCATGCCCCTCCTTCCTGGTACCGTGCCTTCTGCTTTAATTTTTGCCAGTCCGTCGTGGCGCTTAATATAATCAAAATATTTCAGCTTCCTAGGCAGGATGCTGTTTATTAGCCAATCTTCCTTGATGTTCAGATCTTTCAAGATGTCAGTATTTCTCCTGTTTTTTTTGTCCAAGATATTCTGAAAATCTTTCAATAGCATTTCAACTCAAAAGCCCCTAGTCTCTTTCTTAAGGAAGACATTAGAGACAGATAATTGGCTTATACCACTATAGATACATTAGATGAATGGTGTAATCTGACAAAAGATGGTTTTCCCATTTGTGTCACTGTCCCAGTAAAATGTAGCATTAAAATGACTAAATGTTTGCATTTTTTGGCAATAACGACTGTTTCTTAACGAATCTCTTAGCAACTATTTATTGGGGCACCGAGGCCTAATTGTATATGCATTTCTCAAATACATATAGTGCAAAACAAACCTTTTTAACATATAAAAATGGCTGCCACTACACTTTTTTTAAAGAAAATACCATATTTTAAAAAGATATTTAGCTTTGGAGAAGGTTCTTAAAAGAAGAATATTAAGAAACAAACAATTTTACTGTTTCAATTAATTCCAGTTATTGTTATAGTTGATATGTAGCCAGGATTTGACTTTTCAGCAGGCTAACCAACTCATTTCAGTGCCCAAGTTCTTGCCTGTGCTTTGAGTCCAAATCCATCTTAGCTATCGAGAATAAATGGCATGTTCCCGTGCAGAGTGTGATTCTGTTGCACGATAATACTTAACCTGCCCACATTTAATAATATTGTGCATGCATTCTTATTATGGAAGAGGTTAAGGTTTTGATACAAACAGACTGCAGGCCAGCTTTTTCACTATGTGACTTTTTTTTTTTTAGACCCTTTAAAAAGCTATCGACAATCTCACTCCAGCTCAGACTGCTTTCTGATAAAAGTGTTTCCATTATGGTAGCAATGTTGCAATTACACTATTTGCCATCTTCAAAAGCATGCTGAAATCCTGTGTCAACTACTTCATATGTCTTTAGGTTCATGCTTGCTTCCTAAAAGTTTTTTATATTACCACAATGCTACAATATTTTTCGTGCATTTGTGCAGCAACAAATATTAGTTTCATTTATTCCAGCCATGTGTGTTTTTTATACTGAAGCACATCAAAAATGCACTAACTGTATAATTCAGGAACAGAGTATGAAATGTAAATATAAGTGTTTATAAGTTTGCATATTTTGAATCTTTATTAATTTTTCTCTGAATCCATGTTGGAAATTAATTTGTACTTTTGATTGTTATGAAATTCATTACATTCTGTGCAGGAAAGGGGGCAAACAGAAAATGCATGCAATAATAGTAAAAAAAAAATTGCACTATCCTCAGTATCAAGTATGTTCACTGTGTGCCTGTAGACAACTTGGCATTGACTCTGCATGAAAGGCATTTGTCTGATGAAAATTATGAGGAATCAAGTCCCATTCATATGTCAAAGCAGCTTCCAGCTGTTACAGTTTAGCTGCAGACCCTTGCATCTAAACTCTTATGTCCAGGCAAAAGATAGGTTAAATTAGCTCTCATATGTGAATAGGACAGCATTCCACTGCGGTCTAGGCTACCTGACATATTGCTCTGCCCATTGCAGGTGCTGCTGATGATGTCTCTAAGTGAAGTTTGACCCAGCATAATGTCATCTTGCAGTAAGGCCTGAATCTCTAAGTTGTTCGTATGATTGTCATTTGAGAGACATACCCATGTTTACTCATTATTGTTGTTTCTGTTCAACTTGCTAGAGAAAATTTCCTTAGGGGACTAGGCACAACATTCCAGTCTTACTCAGGGGTAGTAACTAGTGGTTGGTCACTCCTATATTTCTCTCGGGCACTGCCAGTGGTTCCTTAACATTCATTAAGATGCACAGTAGTTCTGTGGTGGCAATTCATTCTTCTGGCACTGACCTGCAAGCTCATTCTTGTCTCCAAATACCAATGGCTGTTTGACGTCTATTTTCAGATAGTCGTGGCATCATAAGCACGTGTACTGGGTGTTTTGTCTCAAAAGGCCTTTTTATACTGACTTTACTGCCACAATGCCGTCACATTTTCAGGGTCATAGCTATTGGGAATCGTGTTGCACGTGTAACTTTCATTGTTTTCACGTAGACTATGCAAACTCGAGGGTTGAATCATGCACTTTCCATTCCAGCAGCCATTCGCTCTCTACCACATGACAAACATTGAGACAATCCATTTCCACACTTTTTCTGATCAGCTTTTCAGCAACGTAACATATTATAATGGTGCATTTTTAATGTGCTTCAGTATATTATATTTTGACACACAGTTCTATAATCTAAAGTTCAGTCTACATGGTTTGTGTTTTGCTATACACTTAACAGTTAAGAAATAAAGTTAGATAAATAGAAAGCTGCACATGTTAAAACTATCCCAGAATGACAAATCTAGTAAGGAAGGTCAGATTACTAACAGGGGAGGTTTTAAAGAATGTAAACAAACAGTCATAAATATAAATTTAAGTGACATAATTATCAGAGAACTTAAAAAAAAATTGCAAGAGATTGCGGGGAGAAGTTTAATTATTGCTAACATAATTTTCAATGTCTGTATCTGACATTATTTGAATGAATAATATTATATATTACAGGACAAGTGAAAGTTGTGCGGGCTCTGTACAGATATGAAGCTCAGCAAGTAAGTAGTTGAAGCTGCTCTTGAAGTAACTGCTGATTAAGGATGTTTGAATAACATTTTATTTAATTACAAATCTTTCTTGAATAGTACAGTAGTATCTTGACCAGTGAACTTAATTTGTTCTTACTGTGGTTTGTATCTCAAACACTTCATATCTTGAAACCCAATTTCCCATTACATCTTACGGGAAATTAATTAATCCATTCTCAGATAACAAACTGAAAAACAAATCAAATAATGAAAACTACTTTTCCGCAAATTAAGAAAATACATAAAAATGGATCAGAAGTGAGAAGGAGCATTTTTAGGCAATAAATATGCATTTTGTTTACCCTTACAAGTTTTTATTTATTAAATCCATGGTTATTCATGATACATATGTAAGGATTACTAAACAAAATTGCCTTCCATTATATTCATTACCAAACAAAACAAAAAAACTGTCTTCAGTAGCTTCCTTCTATTTCTTTGGTGAAGAAGGTTTTAAAATCCTATTTAACATTGTCTGCGGACGTTGTTTCATTAAGATGCTTCTAAAATGATTAATTTCATTGTCATTAAACACACTGGTGGCTCTGGAAACAACATTTTGATTTGGATGCCACATGTTCACTCCAATGCTGCAAGATTTCTTTATGTCACATGTTAGGATTGCTCCCTTTTTGTTGCTGTCTTCATTCTCTGAAGACTTTTGCTCTTCTTTCCATCATTTACTTTTCGGTTCCTAATTTGTTTAGCTCTTCAGTGGTCAGCTGTTTTATGTTCTTCTCCCAGCTCCTCTTTGTGTGCTTCATCAACCTCCACATGCATGGTCTTGCCCAGGGAGACAGCTGTATCTACAATATAAATTTCACGGTTAGGTCCTTGCAGTGTAGTTCCTTAGACACAGTACGTGCAGCATGTATCGCACACACCACTTCGTGCATCACATTCTTACAATCACATGCAAGTGTGCAGTGCATCACGGCTGGTATCTTGAATTTAAGTTCATATGTAGATGTGAAAATGGGATGGGAAATAAGCTTTTGTTGCAAAAAGTTCATAAGTAGAGCGGTTTATACTTTTTAGTTATGACCAGTGCAGCACTAGCTTAGGTCTCAAAATGAATAGTCAGTTTTGCAGCCAGTCTGGGTTCTCAATTATACTAATGTACATAATTGTAAATAATTGTATATAATTATTTATAATAAAATTATATACAATAAATATATACAAATATAATAATGTATATGATGCCACGTCTAGTTTGAAAATGGAGGTGGAGGCAGTCACTGCTGCCTTCCGCTGGCTTGAGAATAAGCTGTTCACTCATGCAGTGATTGTAACTGACTCACAGAGCATGTTGAGAAAGGTGGAGACAGGCATACTCCGTGCAGAGTGGCAAGCATCACTTCAGAGGTCCTGTGTAGTTAGTCCTTTGGATATTTTCTCCAGGTCATGCTGGTGTGTTGAGAAATAAGCAGGCAGATAGACTGGCCAGCTCTGCACCACTTGGTGGTGAATTGATGTATGACAAGTTAGATATTGTGAGGGCCCTTTGGTAGTGAGTGAACAGTGCAGAGGCACAGATAGATCATTACGATGTGAGGAGAATGGCATTGCGAGGAGTTACCAGGGGATCTGGCAGATGCACAGCACTCAGGGGAAGGTCGAGACAGATATACAATCAAAAAGTTACTGGTATCATCGAAATTGGAACTCTTTGCTTGCTGCTGAAGATGGGGATGGAGTGCTTATGGGAATGTCCTGAGTGCTGTGATATCGGTTTTTAATCAACATTCAACATACAACATTACTTTAAAGTAGAACTTTGAAGTTTTCTACCCAGCAATCCAGTATTTTTACTCAGGATGCTGCTATTTGTGTTGAACGTAATGGATGTGTTCTATGTACGTGAATAATAAGCTTCTCAATGTGCACTATACAATTTTGTCTAAAATGATGTTTTTTTTAGAAATCGTGTGTCTTCCCGGTTGAAAATCAACCATGTGGGATATTTTGAAAATTAAAATTAGCATATAAAACACAAATTTTGCACACACACAAAAAAAAGCTTCAAGAAGTTGCTTTATCTTTAAAAAAAAAAAAAAAAAAAAAACAACAATAATATTATATGCATCAGAGTAATTTACTGAATTACAAACCTCTATTTATTTAAATAATGAATTGATTAGAATGAAACAGCTTAAGTGAAATTCTATCCTTTGCTGTTTTATGCAAGTTCTGACATGACCTCCCTTAAATAATCATCTCCATCTGTGGTTTTCTTTTTGGGTCTCCCTTTGGTTCTGCTTTCTTCTTGTCAGTTTCTTATGTGCTTGTTTGAAGGGTTAGTCATTGAACAAAGTATTCAAACTATGATCACAGATAAAATGATTACTGAAAAACTTGTTTGTTAGATTGTAATCATCATCAAGTGGCTTGTCAACTGGTGAGGACAGTCATGCCTCTTGACATCTTATATCTAACAGCATGTGTCAGTTCAGCTGCTGACATGTTTCCATACTACAACACACAAAAAAGCTGTCCAGAATCTTCTCTTCTTGTATTTCTCAATTTCCTTTTCATAAATCTGTCCAGTTGTCACATGTTACAGATTTTATCGCTTGTAATTTTGAGGCTTAAAAACCTTTCAAACAATTATTTATTTTGCTTGTGTAAATTTGATATTCTAAACATTATTTGAAGATACTGTATTCTGTTTTCTTCTGCAGCCAGATGAATTGACTTTTGATGAAGGTGACACACTGTATATTCTAGACATGAAGGACTCCAGTTGGTGGAAGGCCAAATGTGGCAGAAATATAGGCCTGATCCCTAGTAATTATGGTATGAAAAAACAACCTCTTGTAAAATTGATATGAAAAAATAATCACATTTTCCTAGTATACATTGTCATCGAGAAGGTTTGCCAGGATTTTAAACTGTTGCTATAGAACAGAAGGAAAACAGTCACAACAGAAATAAAATGTTTACATACTTTACAAGGTGTAACAAGGAAAGATCGACTTAGGAACGATGATATCAGGAGAGTCGGCACAGAACCAATATTGAACTTTATAGCTGGACAGCAGGTCAAATAGTTTGGCCATGTAACAAGACTGGCATCAGACAGGGCACCAGAGAGAGCAATGTTATGCAGGTACAGTGGTAACAGAGCCAGAGGCCGACCACACAAATTATGGACCACACAAATATCAGAGATGCTCAAATTGTATCAATTATTCCCATAGAAATGACCTAGAATCTTTAGAAGTAGAGTGTGTCTGGCTGGAAGTCAAGCCGTCAAATCAGCAGTCAATTTTCATTGGTTACCTATATCGAAATCCTTGTGTAGGTAACAATTTGTATGACGACTTTACTTCTATGATGGATGTAGTTTTTAGCTTAGGAAAAGAAATTATACTGTTAGGAGACTTTAAAATTGATAGCAATAAACCTAACCAGGCGCGGGGGGGATATAATTATATCATACAACCTTAAACATTTAATTAACTTCCCCACCAGAGTTACAAAAACATCTTCAACCACCATTGATTATATTTATGTCTCCTGTCCAGGAAATGTTATTAAATGCATGGTTCCTGTTATAGCTGTCAGCGACCATTATCTGGTGTGCTGTACATGGTCAAAATTTGGCTTTAGGTCTCCTAAAGATAAGCACCTCACAATTAAATTTAGAAATTTTAAAACCTTTAATTCACTAGCATCTTTAAACGATTTGCAAAACGCACGGCTGGAGCATGTTTATCAGCTTTCTGAACCGGACGATGCTGTAGCATACTGGATAAAAACAGTCTACAATGTGTTTGATAAACATGTGCCGGTTAAAGAAGTTAAGAGTTAAAAGTCAAATTAAGTCTCCATGGATCACTAGTGAAGTTCTGGAAGTTATGAGAGACCGAGATACGGCACATAAAAATAACAATGTTATAGAGTATCGTAGGCTAAGAAATAAAGTGCAATACATGATCTGTAGGATCAAGAAAGATATTTTTAACAAGTTGATTATAGATAAATCAAACAGTACAGACATATGGAAGGCTATTAACATGCTGACCAACAGTAAACAAAATTCAGATCATGTAAAACCAGATTCTCTTACACGTAATGATTTCAGTAAGTTTTTTTAAATCGGAAATAGAAAATTTAAAATCCACCATACCAGATGCACAGGGTGACTTAAGCCTATTGGCATCATTTAGTGATGACAAATGCATTAATGCTAGTCCTTCTGAGATTCCTCTCATGTCTGTTGCTGAAGTATATAAATACCTCACCAACCTCAAGCAGACAAACTCATCTAGATTGGATGGTGTCAGCAATCGAATTCTTCGATGTGCTGCACCAGTGACAAGCGATTCCTTAACTTTCATATATAATCAGTGTCTTGTCAAGAACTACTTTCCTTCCGTATTTAAAGTTGCAAAATTTTATCCTTTTAAAACCTGGCTCAACTGATAAAACTTCTGTGGGTAACTATAGACCAATTTCTTTACTATCATCACCATCAAAACCATTAGAGAAACACATACATAAAATAACATTTCAACATTTAAATAACAACAGTCTAATCATCGATAGTCAGTCAGGTTTCAGGCCTAAATACTCTTGTCATACTGCTTTGACAAAAATGACAGACAACATCAATAATGGCAAGATGTGTGGAGCAGTTTTTGTTGATTTTAAGAAAGCATTTGATATAGTTGATCATATATTTTAATTAACAAATTAATTACCTCAAAAACTAACAACAGTTTAGTAAAATTAATAAATTCATTCTTGTCTGATCGACGACAAGTAGTTTCCTTTGAGAACTGCCTTTCAGATTCCACACAGCTAAATATTGGCGTTCCGCAGGGTTTAATACTAGGACCATTGCTTTTTGCCATATATATTAATGACCTTCCGTTAATCTCAGCATAACATGTGACCTATTTGCAGATGACTGTACTATATACACTAATCATGAGAACTATGATGAGCTAGGACGTTCATTACAGTACAAACTAGATAAGCTTATTAAATGGAGTAATGCTAATCGCATGCAAATTAACATAACTAAAACTAAATCTATGGTAATAGCAACCAGACAAAAGTTACAGACATTAGACTTAAATAAGCCTCTGCTTGAGCTCTATGTTGACAAATTACCTATTAGTAATGTTAATGAACACAAAACATGAGGCGTTACAATTGATAGCAGTTTAACTTAATGTTCTCATGACATGCCATAACCAAAAAAGTAGCACAAAAAGTCTATCAGTTAGCAAAAATTCAGCACTTTCTGGACCAGAGTACAAGAAAAATGTTATGTATCCTACATTCAACCCATATCGACTGTTGTTCAACGGTTTGGGATGGTTGCTCCAAATCTAACTTAAAACGACTATGTTCTCTACAAAATTGCACTTTACACCTAGTTTCAGAGAGAAAACACACCCAAAAAAAATCATCTCTATAGCCATTTAAGAATTCTCCTATTGAATAAATGATTAATTTTTAATAAAGCCAAATTTATTCATAAAATTTTAGCTCAGAACACTGCAGATTATCTTTTCCGGTTGATTGAAACCAACCCTAAGAACAGCAAACAGCTAAATTTATCGCATTTGCCGAAGCCTATATTAGATCTGTATAAAACAAGTTTGTCATATTCTGCTGCTCATTTATGGAATCACCTCCCACTCAAACTGAAAAATAAGAGTATGTACTCATTTAACCGCAGCCCTTTAAAATGCATGCTTACTAGTGATTATATGCCACCATAGATGTAGTTAATAATTCACATGCATTATCATCTTAATTATATGTATTATGTGGGTGTGATTGTTAGTGTGTGTGTATGTATGTGGATTTGTGTATGTGTTTTTAGGTTTGTAAGTATGTGTGTGTTTTTATGTATGTAAGTTGTAAGGATGTGGGTGTATATATGTTAGTGTATGTGTGATTGTGTATGAGTGTGATTGTGGGTGTGTGTATATTATGTATGCAAATATGTATGTATGCAGGAAAATATATGTGAATGTTTGTATGAGGGTGTCTGTTTGTGTGATTATTTATGTGTGTATGCATGCATATGTGTGTATGTATGTTTTTTGTGTGTATGTATGCATGTATGTGTGTATGCATGCATGTTGGTGGATGTGTGTATGCATGTGTATCTGTGTAAGTATGTGTGTGTATTTAGGTGTGTTTGCAAGAATGTATGTATGTTTTTAAGTATGTGAGCGTATGTATGGATGTGTGTATGTATGTATGTAGGTAGGTGTGTGTGTGTTTTATGTTTGTATATGTGTGTATGTATGTATGTTGATGTATGTTTGTATTATGTATGCATGTAGATTTAGCCTATGTATGAATGTATACATGTGTATGTGTGCGTACATTATGTAGGTGCGTATATTTATTATTTATTTTGTATGTATGAGAATGTATGTATGTAAATGTAGCTGTGTAAGTATGTGTGTGTGTGTATTTATGTATTTATGTGGGGGTATGTAGGTATATGTAGCTTTGTAGGTATGTGGGTTTTGTGTATTTATAAATTTATGCAAGTATGCTTGTGTGTGTATGTGGATATATGAAAGTATATTTAGGTTTGTAAGTGTGTGTGTGTATTTTATGAATCTATGTTGTAAGTATGTGTGAAAATATATGAGTGATTGTGGGTGTGTGTGTATATAATGTATGCAAATATGTATGTATGCAGGTATGCATGTGTGTATGTAAAATCTGTATGGGTGATTATATATATGTGTGTATGCATGCGTGTGTGTATGTATGTAATGTGTGTGGGCATGTATGTATGCATGTATGTATGTACCTATGTGTGTATATATGCATGTTGGTGGATGTATGTATGCATATTTAGCTGTGTAAGTATGTGTGTGTATATGTGTGTATTTAGGTATGTATGTGTGTGTGTGTAAAGATGTGAGTGTATGTATAAATGTGTGTGTGTATGCATGTATGTGTATCTATGCATGTATATGTGAATGTATGCTTGCATGTATGTGGGTGTATGTATTAATGTAAGTGTAAATGTGTGGTTGTGGGCATATGTTGGTGTCTGTACATGTGATTGTATATGTGTATATGCATGGATGCATGAATAGGTGTGTATGTACGGAATATGTGTGCATGTATATCCTTAAATGTATGTGTGTGTGTTTTCTGTTTGTGCATTTATGTCTATGTATGCGTTTTATGTTTGTATATGTATGTAGATGCATGTGTGTATGTATCACGTATGTCTGTATGTGAGTTCACATGTATGAGAACATAGGAGTATGTATACGTGTGTGGTTTGTACAATTGTGTACAAATGATGTGTGTATGCATTATTCTATAGTTTATGTTTCTTTATTATATCCATAACATGCATTATTGATAACAGTTATTGGTACTCTGAAAAATGAGTGCTTAGAAGGGCAGAATGTCAGACGGGCCTGCATGCCTCTTTGAAAATAAAGTTTGTTTGTTCGTTTGTTCGTTCGTTCTCCCTCTCCTCTGATCTTTATCTTATTCTTTTTCTCTCTATCTTTCCTTTTACTCTCTCATTTCCTGTCTCCCCTCCCCCTTGCTAATTTTATTTCTTGTTTGAATGTTTAATATCCAGAAATCTAGTAACTGTCAAGTACACAGGAAGTTGTGTTGTGGTGGGGAGGGGGGGGGGGGGGGGGTTCAGCATGAACCTGGGGGATATTTTCTTTTGATATAAGTTTTGTCTTTTGATGTAGCTGGCCTTAATCTCTGTCCATCTTCCTACCTGGCCCCTCACATTTTTTCCTACCTGTTCCTCACGCTCTGCCTGTCTGTCACTGCCTTCCTCTCTCTTTGTATTTGCCGCTCTCCCTCACTCCCCCCTCTCTCTCCATCTCTCTCTCTTTCTCCATGCCTTCATTTGGTGTAGAAGGTTATGTGTTGCCCAGTGCAGAACATTTCATGTCACCCTCCCACCCCCCACCTCCCTCACATGCATATTAAATATATATGTACTTTTAAAAACACATTTAATATCATCCCCCCCCCCTCTTTTTTTTCCTCCCACAGTGATGACACCTGGGGGAGGGGGTGCACCCCTTCCTGTTACTTTCTTCCCTCTATATCTCATCTTATTTCTTTCTCCCTTCTTTTTCTCCCTGTCTCAGTCCACACTTTCTTTTCTTAATCTTTATTCTTTCTCCATCTCTCTCTCTCTCTCTTTCTCTCTCTCTCTTTCTCTCTCTCTCTCTGACTCTCACTGTTCTCACCTCTGTCTCACCCTTACCATCTCAACATTCTACACCACCTTCCACCACCTCCTCTCCCCTATCCTTTCTGTAATTTGAAAATCAGAAATAAACAAAGTCCACTAGTGCCCTGACCTATTTATTTTTTTTTGGTTGGTATCCTGCTTTATTTTCCACAAGTGGTGGGTTGGGATCCGCCTCCCCCCTCCCCCCTAGAAAATGACCTTGGCTCGAAGGTCCACCAGCCTTGATTGTAAGAAATGGAACTATCTGGAGGGGTCAGCTCAATTGTTTATTGGCCACTCTTTCCTTTTTATTACTCTTTCCTTTGATCTTCCACTCTTCTCCTTTATCTCTCCATCCTTCCTCTCTTCCTTTCCTTACTCTGTTCTATCGTGCTCTCCCTCCTGTCCCATCTCTTCTTTGTCTCCTCTCCATCCTGTCTCATTTTCTCTAGATTTCCTTACCCTATCCTCTCTCTCATTCTCCCCCCTCCCCTCCCCCCATTTGTTTCTGGTTCTTCTACATTTGCTGTGCTGCCTTGTAACCATCTTTTCCTAGTGGTTATGTCCAGTACACTTGAAATTGTGTTGTGGTTGGGGGAGTGGGTGAGGTTTCGGCATGAGGCTGGTGGTTTTTTTCTTTGATGTCTTGTTATATTTGTTAGCAATTCTGGCATATTTTTTTATACTTTCTATCTTGACTCCCTTCCTGCCCCTCTCTCTTTAGCTGTGTTTGTCACTGCCTTCCTCCAAATCTCTCTCTCCCTCTCTCTTGCTTTATGTCTGTTTGCGTCCCTTCATCACTTCCTCTTTGTATACCTCCCGCCCATTCTCCTGCTCTGCCTTTTTTCTCTCTCTTTGGTTCTCTCCCTCTGACTGTCTGCCTATTTATACTGCCCGTCTCTCACTCCTTTATGTCTACATCTCTCTCTGCTTGCATCTCGCTCTCTCCCTGTCCCTTCTCTCTCCCTCTGTCTCCCTTCCTCCAACTCTCTTTGTCATATTTTTCCTCCTTCCATATCTCAGTTTCTTTCTCTTCTTCCTTCTCTCTTCATCTGCCAATTTCTTTATCTGCATTCCCTCTTTCTGTATTTGTCTCCCTCTCTATCTTTCACTGTCCTTTCCCCACTATCCCTCCTCATGTCTCCATCCCTCCCTCTCGTTGTCACCATTTTCCTCCTTCCCCTGTCTCTCTTTTCCTTCTTTCCTCTACCTTCATCTGTCCATCTTTACACTTCTCTCCCAGTCTAACTCAGCTTATGTCTTCCTCCCTCTCTGTATGACTCTCTCTCTCTTCCCCTCCCTTCCCCTTTGAAGTACCAGGCTCAGAACAGACAGGACTTCTGTTTGCTGACCTCTACCACCAAGTCTACCCCAAAAAAATGTAAAAGCACTATATCAAGCGCCACAATGGAGTGGAAAAAATAATAGCAGAAGGCATAGTACCAGGAAGGAGGTGTAGGGGCCGACCACCACGAAGATGGGCACAGGATATAAGTGACTCCTTGAATATAAAAGTACATGAGGCGGGAGAGCTGGCGAAAGATCGATTTTCTTTCATGCACATCGTGATAAGAGCGACGTTCTGCAAAGGACCTGTTACATGATGATGATGATATCTGCACTGGTATACCCACACCTTTGGCACAAATGAAGTACTTTGTATGCTCGGTACACCCTTGAACAAGGCAACAATCTTGTTTCAGTATTACACAGAGACAACCTTGAAAACAACTAAGAAGACCTTGAAAAGGACCGTGAAAAGCCTTGAAATTGATTGGTGAATTTGGCTATGAACCCTGATAATTATTCTTATGTACAGAAAGAAAAGGGCCTCTTGACCAAGATTTCATCTTTGTGTGCAAATCCATTTAATAGATGTATGCAGACTTATTATTGATCTGCTAGTATTAAATGTCAAGGAAGATAACAGCGAAATGTACTTTTATAAAATCAGCCTAAAATAAAAGAAAAGAAATATTCAATAGGACATAACTCGAGCAAATGTTTACTTTTACTGATTATTGCAATAATTAAAAGAAATGCACATAAACCTGACTGTCCATGTGACTAAATCAAACATTGTAGCTATGATGGTAAGAAAAAATTTAACCCATGTTGTGGTCACGGCATGGGAGGAGTAAACAGTTGAATTAAAATTACACACAAACTGTAGGAAGATGTTTTTGCTTTATAATATAGATACCCATCATGCCTACACACAATTCATTATAGTGAAATAAATTGTCATCCCTTTGTGGATTGCAATTTTTTTGTTATTTGAAGCCCTATTGCCTGGGGCCGCAATTTAGCCTGGCCATAAATATGGTTTAATGGCTGAATGCGGTTTCTGGGACCTTTCCACGGGTGATCCTCATCCACATGGTGGCACTTTGTGTCATCGGGTGTTTATCGCTTGTGTGATGTCCTGTGGGGTAAAAGAAAATAGAAATAGACACACTCTGCAGTTGCATAGTGACCACTGTCAAAAACGTCATACCATTAAGAAAAAAGAGCGAAAAAACAGACAAGCCTAGATGTTGGCATAAATGGAATGACAGGGTTAGAGTAATGTTTTAAAAATTCTCTTAGTGTTTATTGTGTATCAAAGGTAACTTCATAGCACTTTTGAAATGATGATCTGGTTTAGTTTCTTTAAATGACCTGCTAATCTAGAGCAAGAATAAAGGAGTTGTATGGTAGGAGGCAGGAACTAATATATTAAAAGCAAATTACTCCAGCTAATCCATGAAACCTGTCGAAATTTTGTCAATAATAATCTTGAAAAGAAACTACACTGTTGAGCTTGAACCTGGATTCTGCGGAAATTGCTCTTTTGCTGCAATCTTATCATGTAAAGTACCTGATTTTATTAGTTGCTGTTCACCAGACTGTTCCAGAAAGGCGCCACTGAGGCTCTCTTTTTGTGATAGAATCTGGCTTTTTTGTAGCCAAACTGTTTGGAAGAAAATGTATCCTTTTTACCTAGCCAGGCCTCTGGTAAGAATCTGTTTCTAGGATGACTCGAGAGGTAAAGATAGGTCTTGACCAGTTTAAGCCATGGTCTTGGTTCCTCACCACCACATGTTACACACCTCTGTATCCTAGAGTGAGCCCAATGGAGAAGATATTGGACCGTTGAGCATCATGGCATGGAAGAATATCTGTATCATTAATGATTGACAGTACACGTAAAAAGGCTTTAATTAGACATTATTACCAATGCCACACAGCAAAGGCTATACAAATATTAACATAAAGAATATTCACCCCCCCCCCCCTTTTTCCCCCCACCCCTTCCCCTTTCAAGTGTGGTTATATTTAATATATACAATTATTAATTTGCTGGTGTGTTTTCTGATCTCTACTTCTTTACTCATCGTGAGTGTTGATCAGTGTCTCTAAATTTATTTTTCATTTTTTTTTAATTGGCTTCAGGAGTTCCTCAGCAGTTTATATTTGTGTGTATCACCACAACTGAATTTTTATAGTGTTCATGGATTCTGCTACAAACGGTGGGACCTTTACCAATGCTGTGGGCATTCCTGGAGATGTCTTTATGCACTAAAGGTGGTCCATTACAAATCACAAGCATTAATACTTGCAGAGATGTCATTAATATGTTCATTTCTATTAAAATGTTTTATTCAAATGTTCTGTCTTATTTGAATATTTTATATTCTTTTTTTTAACAGTTGTTTATTCATACAATTCTTTTTCTTGGAAATAGTTGAAGAAAACACACAGTCTGTTGATCATCCATTACATGATGCAGCCAAGAGAGGCAACATTGATTTTTTGAGAGAATGTCTGCAGAATCAGGTTCGCTGTGCATTAAAATTTCAGTTGATTATAAATTTTGTTTTCTCTTTTTTTTTTCCTGTTACCTGAACACATACAGTGGAACCTCGCTTAACGAGCATAATTCGTTTCAGAATCATACTCGTTAAGCGAAACACTCGTTATGCGAAACAATTTTTCTCATATAAATTAATGTAAAATACGATAATGCGTTCCATGTCGAAAAAAATACTCACAGAATGCTATGTATGACGTTTATTCAAAGAAAATTATAAACATATTGTTGAGAAGAGTGAATCATCTTCACCTTTTCTACAAACGCAGAACGAACCCACCTGGAATGCGAATTTGATTTGCAGGGGAAAAAGTCGAAATAATTATGATACATAGCTAAAAAATGTTACTAGAAAATTTTGCGAAAATGGGACACATCATTTTCATTAAATAAATTTGCAATGCGTATAGCCACTTCCTTATTAGGGTGATGCTTCTCCCTCTCAGTTTGCCATGCTTTCAGCATTTCTCTTATTTTGCCAGAAGACTGTGGCTTTTCTGTTACCTCCTCCTCCTCCTCTGACAAACTTTCCTCCAAAACTTCCTGCTGTGAAACACAATGTAACTCCATAAGTTCTTGGTTGGTTAGCTCTTGGCTATGCTCTTCCACAAGCTCTTCGATATCACCGTTATCCACCTACAATCCGATGATAGTGGCCAATGACACAGTCTCGTTGATTACAGATTCCACAGGTACTGTCTCGAACCCTTCAAAGTCAAAAATCGACAACGCTTTCCGGCCAAAGCTTCTTCCAAGCAGAAGTTAGGGTTCTCTTGGTAACCCCTTTTCCCGCCTTTTCGATCATCTTAAGGCAGTCAACGATGTGGAAGTGATTTTTCCCAAACTCTTTGAGAGTGAGTTTGGTCCCTTCAGTCACCTGAAAACAATGCTCGAAGAGTGCTTTAGTGTAGAGCTTCTTAAAGTTAAAAATAACTTGCTGGTCCATGGGCTGGAGTAACAGAGTGGTGTTGGGAGCCAGAAACTGGATCTTGATGAACTTAAATTCTTCAGAGAGGTCATTTTGTAGGCCTGGAGGATTCATGTACATGTATCACAATATAACACAAGTTTGAGAAAATGTGTGATCACAAGCGACACTACGATGCTACTGGAACGAGTGCTAAACACACACTGATGTAAGATGCGCACAGTTCGGGACTTCCAATCTCCTCGCCACTCATTATGCGAAACGTTACTCGTTAAGCAAGTCATTTTTTTTTACAATTTGTTTTGCTCGTTATGCGAATTACTCGTTATGAGAGGTGCTCGTTAAGCGAGGTTCTACTGTATTATGCAAGGCAAGTGAGAAAGGCATGGAACTCATGAGATCAAGAAAGAAGGAAAGAAATAAATGTGCTTGTATTTCTTTTTTACACTCATGTGAAGTTGTAAAGCAGGTCTATTCAACTGGCGGCCAGCAGATCGTTGCCAACTGTGCTGTATTAAGGATCTTTCCATGTTGGTGTTCCCCCTCTGGACGGCGACGATCCTCATATTCAACATTTTGGCACCTGTGTAAACTTAGTTAACTAGCTTGATTGTAGAAAAATATAAGCACCGGTCTTAAAGGCACTTGATGATGTACTTTGAGATAAGAATACTCATCATCTGGTGCCTTGCCGGTTGGCGTGGGCAATCATGCCTCTCCACAATCTGCGAACTCCTGCAGCATGTATCAGTTTTTGTGCTGTCACACCTCCATGCCATGCAGCAAAACTGTCAAGAATCTTCTCTTGTTATCTTCCACTATTCCTCTTTCCATAGATCTTTCTAGTGGTCACAACATGTTCCATTTTTCCTCTTCTCATAACATGACTGAAAAATAATGTCTCCTTCTGATATCTGTGATAAGTTGTGTTCGAGCTCCCGCCTCTTCCAAAACGTCATGGTTGCTCTCTTTGGCTGTCCAAGGTGTTTTAAGCATTTTTCTATAAAACCACATCTCTGAGGCCTCAAGAAATTGTTTGGCCTGTCTACCAATTGTCCAGGACTCAGAGCCATATGTTAAAACTGGATGTATATAGTAAGCAAGAGTTCTTTTTCTAACCTTCAGTGAGAGAGATACATTGCGTAAGATGTTATTTATTTTATAAAATGCAGCTTCTGCCTGTCCTTTTCTGTTTCTTATTTCAGTTATGCATCTTCCATCTGATATTATAAAAATGCCCAGATACTTAAATTTCTGTACTTGTCCCAAAATAACACCACTGACTTTTATTACACATTTTGGAATAATTTTTTTCTTTGATACCACCATTACTTCTGTCTTTCCATTATTCAAACTGAGGCCCATTTTTCCACTTTCTACCACCACAATGTCTATTATTTCCTGTAGGCTCAAATTTCTGTCATATGCATGTCTTATGGTATAACAGCAAAGTCTTAAATGTCTGACTTTTAAAGTCCTATTGTTTCGCAGAAAGTTTAAGATGTCTGTTTCTATTGGCCTTACTCGCTAGAGTGTCAGGACCAAAATAGGGTAAACCATTTCTGGTGCATGCTTGTGTGTGCATACTGTCTTGCTAAGTGTCCAGTTGAAACAACGTTAAAATGTCTTATGTGCTGAAGAAGAATGTACCTTTTGTTTTGTCTTCTTCTTCTTCGTGTTCACCAGCTGTACACTCTGGCAGAAAGTTCTGGTTGCTCGTCCACTACTGAACTGCAGTCCTGCTCCAGAACCTAAGTGTTGCGTGTGCATCAGTTTTACAGATCTCATTCTCTTGAATACAGACTGTTGGTTCCTTGCCTCTCCGGCAGATGCACTCCGACTTCAAAGGAAGCTCCCAAACTAGTCGACTCTTACGACATGCTTTTGGGTAGGCAGTGGGTCTATTCTTGTTTTCCCCGCGATGGGGCCCCGGAACCCACACAGGTGGTTTTGTCTTCTAAGACTGCGGGCTGCTTCCTGCTGATTTCTAGATGATGCAGCCTGTGATGACTGGAAAGCGCAAGATATGGATGTGAGGTTAAGCAGTCATGAGCAGTTCGTGATGATTCCTGGGGTGAGCCCAGAACCAGAGCATCAAATGTCAGCTCTGTATTCATTGAAGCCTCCTTGGATTGTAGGAACTGCCCATGATGTGCCCTAACTTCCTTGAGGGCAAGCCAGTCTACATGTAGTTTGCCCTCAGTGCTTTGTCCAGGGGCAACAACTGGAGGCAAGGGGACAGAGAGAATACTACAAAAATAAGGCTGCATCATGTCCCACCTAACTATCTGGGAAATTAACCTAGTCAACAAATGCTCGATGCAGTTGGTCGAAAGGTCCAAATATTGCAGCTTTGCTATAAGCAGACACAATGCAATACATCACTCAGACGAATGAAAAGAATAAAATGTATGAAGAAGAATTTTGACTAGATGAAAATTTAGAACATCCAGAAGCAAGTATGTACAAGGTCTGTGAGATTCCTAACACAGAAAGGCATATGGAAGACCGTGAAAAGAAACAAGAAGACATATATGTTTTTTATTCATAAATGTAACAGACAAATTTAATTTTATTTAAATTATTGACCTTTCCAAAGTACAGAATGAATTTCAAAGCATTAACTCTTTCAGAACGACATTTTTTCTGGGGTTAGGACAGCATTAATTTTGAGCTGAATTTTTTTCTGCAACATGACAGCTAAACCCTTCTTTAAGAAAAGTATTGGCTGTATAGAGACGTTTAATCTATCGAATTAAAGAGTAGTGAGTGCAGAATAAATCTAAACTATCAAAGTTTCGGTATTACAACATATTATTAAAATCACACAACATTCAGGGATGTTGGACACATATGAAGATTCTTTACACACACACACAAATGCTTTTTACTTGTTTAACATTGCTATCCTGTTCTAAGAATTCACATGCCTTCTCTGTTTAGTTCTGTATCAGACAGTCTTTATTTGAAATAATTAATTTAAATACTTTTGATGTTTTAACCAATTTTGTATGTCGTCAGGTTTTGCAACAACCAAAAATAGGGAAAACAGAGATGATTCGATTGAAATATTTTGTTCAGCGTCATCCTAACCTATATTATCACCAGTAGGTTTGTCACTTGCATTATCAGTCATAATATCAAGACTGTTATCCTATCTAGCTGAGAGTCATCAACGATAGAATAGAACTTACAGTTCTAGACATTTTTCCTTATCATTTGGTATAGAAAAATCTTGTGAAAATTGTATCACATCTAAATAATCTAAAACAGATCAGAAAGTTCAAATCAGAAAGCTGTCCAAAACAACATGCCGAACTTCCTAGATGAAAGGACTCAGTTTTGCTAATTCTAGTTTTTCAAAACATGTTCGTACCAATTCTTTTTCCCAGCAAACAAAACAATATTAGAGTGTCTCTGTGTAGCACCACTTTAATGGCAAATAGTCCGAATGGTATGAATTCAAAAGCCACTTAAGGCGCTAGTCCATAAAGAATTAATGTCAGTTTCAGATTGACAGATCAGGAGGACCTGTTTATGAATTTTATATTTTGCTTTGTGGAAGCTAGTGTGGCATTTCAGTTAGTAAAGATAATGATATAATAATATATGCATTCTTAAACGTTTATTATCATTGAGATATTTTTCTTTTGGGAAATTACAGGTCTCTGTAAATGGACTAGATAAGGCTGGTTCAACCTCACTTCACTGGGCTGCACATGGTGGGCACCTGGATTGTCTGAAGACTTTGCTGGATGTTCCAAATTGTGCAGTTAATGTGCAGGTACCCAGTGTTTCCAAAGAAGCAGTGACAAACATAGTTATTATTTTTTTATAGCTACTTCTAAAGGTAAAACGAATTGCTGAAAGTTCAGTGAACAGTGTTAATGTACTCATGGACTCATAGCTTGACTGTATTGGTCATGGAATTAGGATTCACCATGATTAAGCTTCATATCAAAAGGGTAGTCCTGAATAAATATTGCATCACTGCAGTCTGGCTGAAAGAATAGAAATCAAGAATGAAAATAAACTTACTATGATAGCATCATATCTGCTAAAGGGCTCTAATACCCCAGCTGTGCTGTAAACGTGCATAACACCATTAATGTTTTGGAAAAAAGCAGCGAAGAAAAATTATTAAAATTTTTTTTAATGTTAATCTAATACAGAAGTCTTTATTTTCAGTTTTCTTTTTTTTTTTCTATCTCAGGGCATGAAGAGAAAAATGATGCGATAATTTATATATTTAACACAGGCTCGTTTAATGTGACCTTGCTAGTTATGGTCAGTACCCTTTAAGAGCAAGTGAACAATGTGGAAGCACAGTAGATTAGTCTGGAGAGAATGCTGCAGCGGGTAGTGACCACGTTACACCCTCAGAATTGTAACTCTGTCTTGGCTGCTGGAGATGGGAGTGGAGAATTTATGGGAATGTCACAGATATTGTGATGTTGATCTTAGCTTTCAAATGTTAGTTGAACTTTTTTCATTGATAACTGAAGTCTCTCAAACAATCATCTCTTGCAGTGTCATACCTCGCTTCCAGTGACTAGGTCTTTTCACATTTCAAACTTCAGTTTTCCACAATTAAATAGGGCAAGTTCGGCAGCATTTATGCCCCATCACAAGTGACTGAGAAAAACTGAAATATGCAGAATCCTTCAATGTTTTTTTTTCTCACTATCTTGTGCTAAGTTAGTAATGTATTCTGAGACATTTCTTTGAGACATACTGACAGGAGGTACTCCCAGATCACCCGAGAATAACATGCATTCCCTGATTTTAATTTTTTTTCACTCTGTTTATCTGTGGGGCTGTGAGTGTATTGATGCCTAGTGCATGCTTGCTGGTGCCAAGAGCTAACACGTTATATACTAATTGGCCATTTAAACTCATAGCTGCCTAACATTTATTGTAAACATACCTGATTTTAAAGAAGTACTGTACATCTTTTGTCACCTCTCCTATTTTTACTGGCAATAGATTGGATTATGAAGTTAGAAACCGCTAACACCAAAATTTATTATTTGTAAAAACATTATTGTAAACATACCATTTTTGGCTTTGGTTATAATTTGGTCTTCAACTTTCAAGAATTTGTAAAATCTTGTACTCACATTTTTCACAGAACCACTCTTTCCCATGTTCCTGCCACAGAATGTTACCATTGACATAAGTGTCTAGACAATATAGTTATTCATTGGGAACTAAATTGCTGTTTCTTTGGGTGAATTAATTGTTACCCCCCGTGATACGGCATCAGGATAAGATAAGATCATTTTGTAGTTCCGAAACATTGTATACCATGTTCCTGCCCTATCAGTATATGAGGGGGCCATTCGCACCTGAGAGCATGGTTTAAAAACAACATTTCTTCTGGTTTTCCTATTTAGGCAAACTAAACATATCATGTCCTTTTATAATGCCTTTATTAATGATCTGTGAGATCCCTCAGAGTCTCGTCGTTTTTTAAAGGGATTGCCTAACAGCATTGTCAAAATCCTTTTCATAGTCCACAAATTCCATATATTACTATCCCATGTGTATTATTCTGCAATGTCTGTTGAAAATAACTGGAGACAAGGGAGAACCATGATTCAAACTTGTGGTGACTTATTGTCTGAGAAGACCAGCCACCATGTTAGGACTAGAACACCACATTCCTCTAGAGCATAGAAACTGAAAAGAACTGAAGACAAGGAAGAACCCTGCTATGACTGTTATTGACTGGAAGACCAAACGCCACCCTCCTCTAGTATGCTGCGGCAGTTGTACATCTAACAAGACATGAGGACATGTCGAGTTCCAATAGTTAACATATTAGTTGGTGAAATAAAACTTTGTGCACGCGCGACGCACAGACACACATGCACCCACCCACCCACACGCACGCATGCACACACACACTATATATATATATATGTAGGGAACTCACTGCTATTTAGGCTGTTCATCATTCCAAGTCTTTGTACATCGTATGCTTTAACCGTTTTAATTGCCATTTTGATAGTGGTTGTTCATAGTAATACTGTAACATGCAGGGGACAATTTATCAGGCTATATCATGGCAGATAACAACATGCACAAAAAATAAATACATAAGCTGCTATATTATTTAGTGAGTCTTGTGTTATTGTATTGTTTAAAAATACCTGCCTATTAATTATTTTAAATTTTCAGAATAAGTTAGGAGACACACCCCTTCATTCAGCAGCATGGAAAGGGCATTCAGGAGCTATTCAAATGCTGTTAGAAAAAGGTAATTCACAAATATAAACAGAGGGGAACCGTTGCGGCCGTAGAATAATAAAATATAATAAACAAACAGACAGTGTATTGCTTGGCAATCATAGAAAGAATAGAAAGATAAAAAGACACACTACACTAGACAACATGAAAATAGAAAGCTATAGTTACTGTGCTGTGAATCGAACCTGTCACCTCCAAATGGCCTTTGCATTTCACTAGGGAAACAGGTGTATTAAGATACATGATGCAATGACTGCGTTTACATTCAGTTTGGCTCCTGTCACTTGCAGACTTCTCACCGTGCACTGACGGTCAACTCAACAGGTGAAAAAATGGACGACATGAACGACACGATGCGTTGTCAATATTTATTGTTCATTTACTCGCTGATTCTTTGGCCAGTACATGGTAAGCAATAAACATAGTCTAGGTGATTATTTATAACACATCGAATAAAGTCAATGTTACCTTTGGACAAATACACAAGTGTCCATTCACCCAACGGCAGCTGAAAATAACAACTTTCCTTAATGGGCAAACACAAACACGTTCATCGCTGACTGTGTAAGTCAGTTCTAACTGAAGGCCAGGTTGGGTATTGAAACTCACAAAGACATCGGATGCACACTTTTGTTTATAACTTGTTACAAACACTTTCTCCACTCCTCATGCGCACAGTTCTTTGACCCAGACAAGACTGCCTGCTAGATCTTTCTGAGGCATTAAATAATCTCCTGTTGCCCACATTCTGGATTGTGCAAAGCCTATGATCTTCGAGCTTTTCACTTCACCCGGGTTAAACACTTTTTTTTCATTTTGGCCAACATTTTCTAATGCCACAGTCCGCTCCTGGTAAACTAAAATATCTAATTTATATTTATGATCTTACAACATTCCCACTAATATACATAATTTATCAGGTAGAAAATGACTCACTAAACCAACTAGTACAGCTTGAAATCCACACCTATGAAATACAAATAGAATTTATCTCAAACTATTGAAATGGCACTGTAGGTTTTAGAAATTTATAAAAACCAAGCATAGGCCGAATAACAAACACAACAACAGTTATAGATAGATGTATCAGAACATAATGCTGTTTCAGAGAGATTACATTGATTGGTTTCATTGTCTCACACATAGTTCACATAAATAAACAGAGAAGATACCCTTGAAGCTGTAGAAACATTATGTATACTAAACAAACTGATACTGTTTTGATAGGCATTCAAAGAAAGAAGTAGAAAGGTAGGACATAGGACAACAAATGGGTAGCACAACAGAACCAACCAGTCAAATCTAAGACGACTAGTTTTATCAATGTTTTATAGTTTGTGATCTTAGTGTTGCGAGAAAAAGAATTTGACTTTAGCAGATGTTGAAGGGCATAGTAAACTTTATTTCCATTTTGTTTTCTAGATTGTATTTGTTCTTTCACCATGTTTGAGTAGTTGAAGTGTGCACCCAAGTACTTATATGTTACTGTTTGTTTTATTTTCATATTATCAACTTGTATTTGGCTGGAGTTTATATCCTTTCCCGCCTTGTTATTATCATGGATTCTGTCTTATCTTTATTGATAACTAGTTCCATTCTGTGAGCTGCTTCTTTTAAGAGAATCGATATTTTTACAATCTCTACTTCATTTTCTCCAGCAATTTCTGCATAACAAAAGTCTTCTTGTAGTTTCTCCTGTAGTACACTCTTCTTTCAATTTCCTTGAAAAGAATTGGGGACAGAGCATCATCTTGCTTTAAACCAGATGTTGTTTGAAAAGTGTTTGACTTTCTTCCTTTATATGTTACTATATTATAAGTGTTTTCCATACATAGTTTTGTCATGGTGTTTAACTTCTTTGGTATTCCAGTGTCCTTCATAGCATTCCATAAACTGTTTCTATGTACACTATAATATATCTGTAACGTATGGTTTTAGCCTATTTAGCAGTACCGTGGATAGTATCTTATAGCTTATAGATAATAGTGATATTCCTTTATAATTTTCCCATTCATACTTGCCTCCTTTCTGAAAAATGGGCATTAGTAATGAATCGTTCCACTTATGGAGTAATTTCTCCATTTTCCAAACTAGTTTTATTAATTCATGTATCTTTAAATGTAATTCATTACCGCCTTCTTGTATAAGCTCAGCAGCAATTCCGAGAGCACCAATTGCTTTATTGTTTTTTAACGGTGTCAAGACTTAGTCTTCTGCCTTTCTAACCCCAAATGGAGCATAGGCCCTCAACCAACTCATGCCAAGTCGTTGTGTACTTCGCTATAGCATGCAGCTCTCCCCCTGTCCTCCCCATCTTTGCAAATTCACTCTCTAACTCCCATCTCCATTGGTTTGTTTTTTTTGGTCTATGCCCCTGTGTGTTTCAGTGCAGAGACATTCTGTCTATATTGTTCTCAGGTTTTCTAAAAAACGTGTCCTATCCAACGTCAGCATCTTTTCTTCACCTCTTGGTTCACTGGAACTTGTTTAGTTCTCCCCAAAGCTCTACATTAGTAATCGTAATCATGAAACCAAACAAAAATGTCAAACTTTGTACTCTTTCAGCTGCCCGAAGGCCTGCTTTAGTGAAGATGGTTTCTTTGCTATCTGATTGAATTTGATTCTGTGTGGCGATCATTTTCACCTAAGTTAGGGTATTTGCTGCTCATGTTCAGGCTTAGCGGGCGTATTCCAGTAGTTTGTAAGTGGATTTGGCAGCCCTCAAAAGGGCTGCCTTTTTTGTCTGGGACGGCCTGGAATGGGCGGGGTTTCATCGTGTTTGTCTTCTGCTATCAGGTCTGGCGATCGTATGGTGAGCTGTCCGTGAAGATGACTGCTTATTTAGTGGGCTCTCATTAGTGGCTTTAGAACTGGTGATAACCTCTTCTCTTGGGCGTGCCATGTTTCTTTTGTTTTTGCTTTTGCACGCTTAGTTCATTAAGGGCTGCGTTGAGTTCATCGTAGAATCTGTCACATTTTGTGCGCCTCTCTCTTTCTTCGGGTGGTGGGTCTTTCTTTTTGAGTTCCTCCCAGTCATAGCGGATCACATAGCGGCCGCTGCCTTCTTTCTAGCTGGTGCAGGTGTACTTGTTTTTTGAAGTTTTCAAACATCGCTTCGCAGATTTCCCTATCGGTTGCCGCTTTCTTGACTTTCTCACTGGTTGTGGCATCAACTTGGTTTTCGCAATGAGTACATTGCTGCCTGGTAGCTGTTTAAGTGCTTTGATCTTCGCTTATATTGGGATCTGTCAGTTGTGCCTGGTGCCTCTTCGTTACCGCTTCGGTGACTGTGCTCTTGTCAGCCCTGCTGACATTTTGTTTCTTTGCGGCTCTCTCTCTTTCGCTCTGTAACCGGGCGCACTCTGTTCTGGCTGTCATCTCGGCCGCTTCTGCCTCTGCCTTAGCCTGTACTAGTCGAGTGACTTCTCTGTAGGCTTCCTCTCTTGCCTCTTTCAGCACGGCCACCTCTCTGCTTCTCTCCTCCCTCTCCTCCTGTCTGTGTCTCTCGTCTGCTGCCTGTGCCGCTGCCAAACTTGGGATTAATGCCTTGATGCTTTCTTTAGTTTCTGCATCTTGTTTCTTGTTGTAGATTTGTTGTTCTTCGTATGCTGTTCTGTTCTCTTTCAGGGCACTTATTTCTCTCAGCATTAGGGTGATTAACTCATGCGTCTCAGCTTTTTCCGTGGCTTTTTCCTTCTTCAGTTCGGATCTCAGTTCCGAAATTGGTTGCACTAGGTTGTGGTCTTTTGATGGCAGGAAAGGCTGGCTTCTCAGTTGGTTTGTTACATATGGTCTAGTGGGTCCGGGCGCCTGGTACCTCTGCTCTTTCCTTGCTACGGCACTGGACACTCCTCTCTTCATGTCTTTGAGGTACAGGCATCCCAGATACCTTGCATTGTGGCTCTACATTAGTGATTTTATCATACCAATAAGTTCTCTCTATTTTGTGCAAGCACCAGTTAATGAGTGTTTGTATTTTATTATTAATTGCCTTAGTTGTTTTCCATGTTTCCAATCCATACAACAGTACTGATTTAATATTATAATTAAAAAAATTATAGTGTAGTACAGTCAAGTCCACTTATGTCAATTTCAGATGTCAAATTTTGCTTAAGTCGACATGACCAGCTTTGTTCCGGCAATTTTCCTTCATCTTAGTATTTAAAATCCTGATTAGTCGAAATTGGTTAACTCAAATATTTGGATACTCGAATCTAAAAATAAATTCTGACTATATACACGTCCCTTTTTAAATCGAACTGTTTAATAGCACTATAAAAGAAAAATTTATGTTATTAAAAATTTTTCATTAGTTAGCCTGGCAAATAACGTGAAATCTCGCAACTATGATATCTTGCTACATACAGTATTAACAATGGCGGCTGGCGGTTAAAAGCTGGCTTCTTTAACTTTAAAAAAAAAAGATTGAACTGTTGGAAGAGATTGAACATAGTGGGAAGAAGAAAGTAGATATAGCTAGGGAATATGGTATTCCAAGTTTGAAGCTTTCTGGCATTTTAAAGCAAAAAGAACGCTACAGAACATTGTTTTTCGAGCGTACAGTTACTGACAGCGAGCTAAACAGTGACATGCCATTTTGTTGATGCTGCCCTTTTAAAGTGGCTTACTGAGCTTAGATCGAAATATGTACCCCATGCATGGGCCAATAATTATGGCAAAAGCAGAGGAATGTGCACGTCTTGGAGGTCAAACAGACTGGAAAAGTATTGCTGGCTGGTTGGATCGTTTAAAAAAACACCATTGCATAATATACAAGAGTGTGTGTGGAGAGAAACAATCTTGATGAAGCAAACACTAACTCATGGAAAGAATATGTGCTTAAACCTGCTTTGGTTTAATATAATTCTGTGGATTTATCACAGTCAGATGTTTTGGCACAAATTTAACATTTATATGATGCAGACTGGGTGCTCAGATGATGTAATCTCACCATTGGTTGCATTTTCACATGCCGTGGAAAGACATTTTTCACAGTCCGAAAAGCAAAGCAAAATCACAGACTTTTTCTTTAATTAATGTCTGAATTTTCATATGGTTTTAATATTATACCTTCTAAAATAATTACATTTTTCAACATTGCTGATATTCTATTGCTTCTTTAAAAAACCTTTCTGGATTCATTGTTCTAATGGTTAGCTTCCATATCCATGACAATATTGTTTATGTATTCTCGCTTTTGCTGCCTAACTACTTTTGTAGCTTCTTTACATTCTTTTTTGTATTTTCTTTATTTTGTATGTTGCTAGTTTCATTTAGCCGCATCTATCTGGCAAGGTTTTTTTCTGACTGCATCTTCATTTTTTTTTTTAACTGAATTATTTATTCTTTCTTTTTATGGTGGACACCAAGACATTCTTCTGCAGTGGTTTGAATTATATTCCCAATATCCATCCAGATTTGGTCTTCCTCTAATGGATTTTGTAAAATCTCTAACCTATGGGGCCATTTCAATAGAAAAAGGTAGACTGTTTGTGTTCTTAGCTACTCTTGTGAGCAATGTTAACGTTACTTAATCAACAGAGTATTCTCATTACACATTAAACCATTCAGCCCATAGGTGCTCACATCCCCTCCTCAGTAAATATATTTTGCAGAAGTACCAGTTAATCAATGTTTTTAGTTTGTTAGTGCATATTTTAATTGTTCTCTATGTTTTGGCTCCATTCAACAGTACTTATTTGATGTTAGAGTTAAATATCCCATAATTAGTGCCAGTTTAATTTCCTTTGATTTCCACAGATTTTCCATTGCTATGAAAGTGTGTCTTGCACTTTATATTCACATTACGATATCTCTACCTGAACTTACCATGGCACTTTAGTTTACATTTTGGACTATGAACAAGCCATTACCAGCATTAATAAGATATCTCTTTATAAACTGATCAGGCACTATAGAATTTCACAGAAAATGTGAGGTGCATTTTCCTGTGTGTGGCCTGAGATTAGCACTATTTTATTCATGTTTAGAATCTTGTTGCTGGTTCCGTTCGATCTTGTTTTGCAATCCCAAAGTGCCTTAAATAACAAGTGTCATTGGGGCAACAACTCGTGCCATCTTACTTATTTTTACATGATTCTAGTATATCTTGTGCAAATCTGGAAATTTTCCAGGGTTTGAGGGGGGGGTGGGGGGGGGGGGGTGGGGGGGGGGAGGTGAATCAGCAATTCATACTTTTTGTGGCTTTCTCCAAACCACATCATACTTCTAGATAAGCCTGGATTATCATAGTTGGCTGAGTTATTTTTCTTTAGACTTTTCATGGTTGGTTACATTCTACAGCTGTTTTCTGCAGCATTATGTAACTTGTCCCATGCCATACATCCCTAATCCTCTCTTACAGCATGCATGTTAGGTTCAAGTGTAATTATTGTTTTGCCTTTTTTATGGCCCTTGTAACACACAAGTGACTGTATATTTCTATAATTATTCTTTAGGAGCAAGAGTAGATATCAAGAATAATGAAGGCAAGCTTCCTCTTGATTTGACAAAGGACCCTGAGGTTGCCGCTCTCCTTCGGCAAGCAGGTAAATTTAAAGTTACTGTACACACATTAATACACAACCGCACACATATTTGCTAGGCTGCCACTTTCAGTTTTGTTCATATAAATTGTTTTTTGGGGCTTTCCTGTTGTTTTTTTTTGTTTGTTTGTTATATTTATTGCCGCCACATTATACTATATATTTTTAAAAAAAATGTATGATTGGTAATGTAAATGAGTTTTAGACTTTTAAATGTGATGACCACAAACAGATCGTCATGATTTGAAGAGAATAGTGTGGCGAGAGCGACTAGGGAATTTTGCTGATGCTTAACGTTCAGGGGGGAGTCACCGTGGCGTAGTGGCTTGACACTTGCGTGCAGATCAGAAGGTCGTGGGTTCACTCCATAGCAGAGCCGGACTTTTTTTCTTTAAAAAATGACCTTGACACCCAGGTCGACCCAGCCATAAGTGGGTACCGGGTGCAGTCCCAGAAAGTGAATTTTGCTGACCACATCACCAATGACTTCCGGTCAAAATGGACGCTGTGAATTGTAGATTCAGAAAATGGTGAGATACCTGTTGTCGCAATATTATTGTTGCCATTATGTGATAAAAATTGATTGCATGTGCAACTGCTGATCTGTTGGTGACTTCTGCTATCATCCATGATAGCTGCATTTCTAATGTCAGACTGTTTGTGTTAGAACTTCAGATGGCTACCGTATGCTTTTAATGCTTGTTATGCTAAGACAGCAGTCTGTCAATCTTTCCACAAGGGACTGTGATAAACATTCTGTGTGTTTTTTGTTGGCACAGGATAAGGAACAATTATAGGGTGACCCATCTGCTATGAAGCTGAAACTAAGATTACGAGATTACCCATTTTGTGCCAATTGGTCTTTAAAATATAGATCTAGCCCCATATGCCCTATACCATAACATTCAGGGAAAATAGACATAGTTGTTAACTGAGGTTTCAGTTTCACTGCAAATTGGTTGCCTGTAACTGCTTCAGTTCCATGCCAGTGGAAATCACACAAAAAAGTTCTTCGCTGTCCTTTTTAAAAACTAGTGAAACATATTCAAGTCCTAGCAAAATCTTGAAGCTCGCGCGTGCAAAATAAATGCATAAATTAGCTGTCAGATGTGCCAAAACTAACAACCTTTACCAGAATTGCCACTGTTAATGAAAGCCATTAATTATGAAAACCGGTATTGTACATGCAAAACTGCATAATTACACATGATTCCGAACGTAATCTGCCGACCATCATTTTTAGTGCAGTTCACAGCTCATATTGTTGCACGAAGCACTCAGCTCAGTAGCTAAGCTGTGGAACCTTTGCACTCCCAGTCCAGAAATGGGGAATTTGCAATAGCAACCCCTAACTAGAAAAAAATAACTGTTCAGGGTGGCAGCAGTAAGCCTGCTATCTGCCATATTAAATAAAATAGAAGTTCTGGAAGATATTCAAAACTGAAGGGGAAACAAAGGCAGACTTTTATAATCAGGTCACAACTGGTACTATTAGCATGTCAACTCTTCGTTGGTTACTGAAGAAGTGGACGGAGCATATGTGTGAATGTCCCGAGTGCAATGATGTCAATTCTTGATTGATTGGTTGATTCATTCATTCATTCTGCCATATTGAAAAGGAGGTGCCAGTGGACATACATGCAATCAGAGTGTTACTGGTAAGATCGAACTGGAACTCTGCACTTGCTGAAGATGGGGATTGGGTGCTTATAGGAATGTCCCAAGTGATTTTTATGTTGATTCTTATTTCATCTTATCTTTGTGTACTGTTAAATGATTTAAGTCACCACCGGACACTCATTTTTTCAATAGTGGTGGTCAAGGAAGATATATCTGTCAGTGTTAGTATTTATGTATACATAGATCTGAGAAGTGGTTATTAACTTATCAAATGGGGGGGGGGGGGGGAGGGCTGTGTGGTCTCGAGTGCTAGAGGTCCCGGGTTCAAGAAATGCTGGGATTTTTTCAAGTGGGTTTCTAGTAATTTCTCCTGGTCTTTTAGTAGTGAGATCGGATGCCTGTATGCATTGTTGCGCACGTAAAACATCCCTTGTCAACTAGAAATCAAAACTAGTAGCCTAACGGTGCTGCCTGGGCAAAATTTGTAGTTAAAAATCTACCCAAAATATTTCAATATCCTCGCCGCTGCTACGGAGCCCGTGCACTGCACTGAGCTACTTTGAACTCAGACTTGAGTTAGAAGTAGAACGGAGTACTTATGGGGTTACTATCCTTGTGCTGTGATGTTGATCTGTTGTTTAAACTTCATGAAATGTTGTTTAATGTTGAATTAAGAATTGACATATCCCCTGCTAACTCCTTGCAGCACCATTCTGCTCAAACCGATTTGTTTGTGCCTCCGCTGCCTCAGCACTGTTCATTCATTCTTAAGGAGCACTCGCAACATCTAGCTTTCATACATCAGTTCTCCACCAGAACTGCCCTGCTCATTTCCTAACACACTGGCAATACCTGGAGAAAATATCCACTAACTACCTAGGACGTCTGGAATGATACTTGCCATTCTGCATGGAGCATGCGTGTCTCCACCTTTTTCAACATGCTCTATGAATCAGTTACATTTATGACATGTGTAGTGCTGATTCTGAAGCCAGTGGAAGGTAGCAGTGACTGCCTCCACTTCCATTCTCAAACTAGACATTGTAATATCTTGCACTAAGCAAGACGTTGCACTTAGTGATGTTGATTCGTTTTTGCTGTGAACCCTAATGCACTTCATCTGCCTCTCAACACAGAGTCATCTGTATAGATAATCACATCACTTGGTTGGGAATTGTCATGAATCATTTGTTGAATTTCTGATTCTGCAGCACCAGCTGTACTTATGGCCTGAAGTGATTTCTTGCTCAGGTACTTTGACCCACTGCTCTCCTCACCCTTTTCAGCTACTCTGAGATATGACTTTTCTTGTAGAACTTTCAGCCTATCTGCAATAGTAGACAGTGCAAGTATATTTCACATACATCTTCTTCTTCTTCTTCACTTCCTCTTTTACCGCTGTGGGTGTCAAGGGAGATATAAGGTTCAGTTTCTGGCTCTTCTGGCCGCCTCGACCATATGCACATCGTGCTGTTGTAGAGCTTCTCTGATGTTATCCTTCCATCTTGTTCTTGGTCTACCTCTTGCTCTACGTCCTTCTTCTCTTTCCATGTATGCTTTGTATGGTACACATACATACTACCAGGATATCTCTTGTACATTCCAGAATTATCTGCATGACTGCATTCTGTAGGCGTTCAAATCTCATCAGGTGATTTTTTTATATGGTAAACATTCCAGGTCCATAATCTATCATTGACAGGATTGCATGCTAGAACATTGTGAACAGCATTTTTTGTTCCATGTCTATTACTGCCATAATCTTGAGAGCAGTGAATCCTTTTTGGCATTTTGCCACAAATGCAACATGATCCCGGCAGGACAGGCTTCTATCGAAAATGATATCCAGGTACCTCATTTTGCTTTCTATTTTGATGTGTCTGTGATTAATATTAGCTCTTACAATTCTATTGTCCAGAGAGCACCACAAAACAGCAGCCTTTCTGAGCTGATGACAGCACCCATCTCGGCACACCAGTCAGTCACTTTGTCTACAATTGCCTGTAGCTCTTGGGTCGTTTGTTGCTTATCGCTCCACTGATATGCAAATGTTGATACGTTTTCTAACACTTGGTTCCTCAAGGTCTGCTGTCTTGCTTGGATACACACGAAGAGCACTAGTGAAATTCAGAACCCTGGGGTAGTCATGGTTTTAAGGTCTATGTACCCAGTCAAAGGGCAATCATATGTGAATGCAGGATAGCAGCTATCCATTTCAACAGCCAGATGACAAATCCCCTTCTCAATGAGAGCAGATATAAAAATATTGTATCTGACTCTATTGTAGGCATTTTCAAGATCAAATGCTGCTACAAGCATCTACTGTCTTTCTGAAATCCCTGATAAACATCAAAAGCAAAAATAGCTGCATTTGACCAGGTATCTTTCCTTGGCTGGTAACTAACTGTGTACCCAATCCTGGGGCATTGAAGCTGTTATGATGCTCTGGTTGAAATGAAAAATCATTTCCCTCAAGTCTTCATCACTTATGCTTTTCATGTGGGCATACCTGACTCCATCTGGCTCTGCCACAGTGTCTTTTGCTTTTTACAATATATATATATATATATATATATATATATATATATATATATATATATATCTTATATACTCCACCCGAATGATATCCTGAAAGTAAACTTATCAAATGGCAGACACACATATATATGGTCCAGTATGCAATGCTGAGTCTAGTGTGTAAAGAATTGTATCTAACATTTAAAGTAGGGACATCGTTGATTGCATGATTCCATTGTGCTGTTAAAAAAAAATACAGAGAAATATTTTCCAGATTACATACTTGTTGGTTCCAGTGACTGACAGGCTGAGCTAAGTGATGATACCTTTTTAGGAGCATCTGGCTTGTTTGTTCTGAAGTATATTTAGTGTTTTGGCAAGGCACTGTCTAGTGTGGCAAGCATATTTAATCTCAGTGTGTCCATAGCTTTCAGTTTTTTTAAATCTCACTTGTGTTCACTAAGTCAGAAAATTCAAATATCTAGGAACAATCTTATCATCAGCTAGAAAATGTGTGACAGAGATTAAAAGCAGAATAGGTCAAGCGAAAGCTGCGTTTCAGAAAATGAAAAATATCCAATGCAATAAATCACTCTCTTGTATTTGCAAAATTGATACAATATTAAAAAAGTGTATAAAGTTTCGTTATAATCAGACAAGCAGTTTTTGAGAACAATATCTCGTAAGCTGAAAACCTGCCAAAATGAGAAAGCGGGGGGAAAAGGAATTTGTTCATGTTTTATTGTACTATAAAATTATTTTCAAGATTTAACATGTTTTTTTCTACTCAGAAAAAATAGTTTCTGATATTACACAATCATTAGAACAATCCTGCTGCATATTCAGGACCTCCCTCTGGGGCATGTAGTTCATCTTGCCTCTTCAGTTTGGCAGCTCGTACACTGTCAAGTCTCTTATTTTGCTTGTCCTTCTTATACTTCAACCTATTTCTAACTCTCTTCTGCATCCTAGATGCGCCTAGTCTTTTCATATGCAGGCCTGTAGAAAATCCATAAAACTGGGCTGCGCCTTGAGAAACATCAGCACCAAAGTTGAACTCTCTTGCTGCAGTTACTACTGTAAACTGAACGCGCTTGCATGAGGCAAACTTGTCTTTAGTACAACAAGCTCAGATCAGGCTGTGTAAACACTCATTTGAATTCTTAGTTTTTAATGAAAACAAATCTTCTTAGCAGTTTAGGGTCAGACAGCCTTTCATAAATTGACAAAAATACTTCTGTAGCTTGTCACAGTTAAGCATTGTGTGAGAAACATCTTGCCATGAGGAGCCGGGGACTGGTGCTTAACCAGGGCGGACTGATAAAAACACACCAAGATTGCTCTCCATTTGGGCACATTTCATGGTGTGGAGTTTTGTCGGTCCAGAAAGAGTGATGCAGTGAAGCCATAACACTGTTCCTCATGAACTCTACACTTGTTTTGTTTCTAATCGCTCTGTTTTAATCAATAGTCAGCTTATGGATGGCATTTTGGGTAAGCCGAACATACTTCACGGTTTTTGAGAAAACCATGTCCTCCAGATCTTCTAACTTTGAATATAATTTACTTGCTTTCTTGTGAAATTTTTTCTGATGAAGACCTTGCAGGTTCATATTTTCACAAAAATTATTGAATGTTGCGGTACCCATTCAACAAACCAATGCAGAATAAACAAACTGTTTGTTGATGGCAAATGATCTATCCCCATCATTACTTCTTGAAATTAGGTACCTTCTAGTAACTACCTTTTTTTTGACCTTTCTTTGCTTACGAGCATTTCCAAGTTGTAGACTTTGAGATTTCTTACGCCGATCTGCTAAGTGGAGTTTAAATTTCTTGGAACCAGGCATTTTTCATTTCACAGCTGTCATGCCATTTCTAAGTAAAAAAATCGACCACAGCAGCCATCTTTGAGAATCTGACATCCACATGATCAGTTTCAGCCAGCAGAAATGGCCCGTAGAGACTAAGATTGTTTTTACACCCTTATATGGAAGTTTAAAAGCATTTATAGAGGTCAGTGAATCGGCGGTAAATGGAAAACCTAAAATTCTACAATCACAAATCCCACAGAATAGAGTAGGGGACATGATTCCGGTTTCAACGATATATAAAACATACAGCTATCTTCTTGTGCATATAGCGTGGCCAGGGGAAAATTGTCGCTAATTTTATAACAAATTTCAATAAACAAATAATTTCACAGCCCAGTAAAATATTAATATTGCATTGAAATTATATATTTTAGACAAAAACAAATACTGAATCTGACAGAAGACATACTAAGGTGTGTAAAAACAAACTTTTCAAACAACTGTCGACCTGACCCAAATTTTCTGTTTTGAACACCCACACATGGCCTTCAGTCATGTATGACTGATTTTTTTAAATCACATTTTTTAAACTGAAAACAGACACCACCTTGTATGCAAGCTTTGCCAAGTCCTTGCCCACAAATCTCTGCTTAAACTTTTATTTGAATGCATAGCAGGCAAAGCGGAATGAGGGCAGAAAAAATGAATACTGTGAAAAAAATAAACCTACTACATACAGTAGCAAAGCAGGCATATATTTAAAAAAATCAAGGTCACTCTCAACAAACCAGAAAAGAACATTAGTAACCATGGAATAAGATGTTTGAGAAGAACTGCAGGAGTAACCAAAAGAGTAACATTAGGAATGAGGCACTCTTTTGAATACCGGTCCAAAAATTATTCACTGCGAAAAACATCCCTTTGAGAGCCTCAAGAGTTTATGTAGTGAAAACATTTAGGCCATCATTATCAGTTTCCACTTCTGCCATTATTGCTCGATGGATAACAATGTTATCCATGGGGAGGAATTGTTTTCAATCAATTGAGATGTCATTGGGAGGAATAGATTTTGATCCATTGTTTAAGCGTTGAGGAGAGGAGTAGTTTTCGATCCATTAAAGCATCGTGGGGAGGAATAGTTTCTGATCCATTGTTCACATTACCTGTGACTCGCCTTGTGGATTCCAGGGCCACATGTTTGAGGGGAATTTAAAAAAGAATAGATCCGCTGCCACTTAAAAGCCATGTTGTAAAAGGCGACTAATTAGGACTTTGCTGAAATGGGATTTGTGTTGGGGCGAAAGGCGCAGATTTCACAGCCTAGCTGTTTTGAGGTCCTGAATGGGATTTTTTAAACAGTGAATAATTTGGGACCGGTATTCGGGAGAGGGCCGTAATTAGGTCATAAAAGAAAAAATGGGCACAGAATGATTTATAAATTACATACAAAGACAGCACATCAAACGGTTTGCCTACTTTAAGAGAATGGCTTGTAATGCCATACCACACAAATGAAACACTAAAAGAGGAGGACACAGATCATGAGGCAGATGGAGAACAAGGTGGAAACTTAACATCAGAGGGTCTCTACAACACAGTATGTCTTTTTTCGAAGTGGCCAGAAGAGCAAGAAGCAGAACCTTAAATCTCTCGACACCGGAAGCGGTAACAGTGAAACTGAAGAAGAAGAGAAAGAAGAAAAAGTTAATAACGAATTCTGTAGCCAACAAAATAGAACGGCGTTATTTGGATAGATTTGTAAAAATATGGGTTTTAAAACTAGATTATAGAGCTGATAATAACAGATTATAGATGCATCCAAATTTTACATGCTTAGCAGCATAACAATATTGTTGTCACTTTGCTAGTCTATGTTTCTAGCAACTACAAAATATGTTTATAAAATTTGTTACAGTTGAGTCTGGATAAGTAGAAGTCGCAGAAGAGATGTGTTTGTACATGAAATGTCGCCTATTCATTCATGGTGTAATAAATTAACATGCTAACAGCATAGTTTGTTCAGGTGAAACTCATGTCATATTCACCAGATATAAATTGTCATATAGCAGTGATTCCCAAACTGTGCATGCGGCGCCCCGGGGAGCTGCGACTTCTTCATAGGTGCGTCACAAAATATTGTTAAAGCTTCATAATTGATTTAACGAAGACACAAAAAGCCATACTTTTACTTAGGTTAGGGTGCCATGGATAAAATTTAATTGAAAAAAGGTGTTGCGGCCAAGAAAAGTACGGGAAACACTGGCAAAAAGCATGAATGTCAAGTTAAGCTATGTTTATAATTTCCTATACACATGAAACTGAGCAATGAAGGAGATGTAATCATCAACAGATGTAGCCAGTTTAGTTCAGCCAGGCGCCATCTCCCCACTAAAGGTTGGCCACAGTGGACCTCCAGTACTCTCATCTTGGTTGTACATTCTCAGACTTCCTTTAGTCTCTTGATGTTGTCTTCCCACTTGTGTCGCCATCTGCCTCTTGCAGTCTAGTCACAAAATGTACAGTAATTACTTGGAAGTTTCAATTTGTGTTTATTCTGTTACAGCTGGTGTCCAGTCATCGAGATATTCAAACAATGACTATGAGGATGAAGAGGATTCTGACTAAGTACTAAAATACTGGGATAACTGTTGAGTATGTTCATATTTGAACATACCTTTTTTTTTCAAGCTGAGTAAAGAAAGAATGAATTTTGTTTAGACAAGTTGATTGAAGCATTTTATATTTTTTCTTCTTCTTCTGCATTCACCCTCTAAAGGATGGTTGGCATGTTGTGTGTGGTTTCAGCTAGGCTTTAATATCTGTGCCTTTTAAACCAACACATCCGATTTGACCAAACTCCCAATTAACCATTTTTATTACATGCTTGTTAGGAGGCAGTTTTCCCCCCTAAAGATGGGGCCCCGGAACCCACACAGGGAATTTTGTCCCTAACAGTGAAGTGTACACAATGTGCAGTTTTTCATGTTTGTGTATCCACATTGTCATTGATCATTGTGGCTGAGATAATTGATTATTACAGACAGCAATTTAAACATGTTTAGGACAGTACTCTGATTTTGCACAGAGTTTGCAGTGACCTGATGATGCTGAATGAGATTATGACTGACACATAAGCAGTTGGTGCACAAATAAAGTAGTGTCAAGTGGTCTCTACAAAACATGCATTATGCAACAGTCTCACACAGGAAGCAAATGGGACACCTGTGTTCTTAAGAAGCTCCCCTGACTAGGATCTTCACGTATAATATTTGCCACATTCAGCACAGATTTACACTTGTATGTCAAGCTCTCCTCTGTCATCCTGCTCCCCTCCATGATTTTGCAATGAAGTCCCATCAACTGTTTCGGTCCCTGGCCACTGACCCATTTGTGTTTATAATCACATTGAAACTCTGTGACTGATATATTTGTATTTGTGTACTATACACTGCTAACTAGCAGTAAGCTGCCACCCAAATAAAAATAAGAAATAAAAAATCTGATCACTTGATCACTGTTTAAATTGTAATCTTATCCCATGAATCAAACGCCTAGTGGATTTAATTTTATAATTTACTTAGTATGCTATTAATAATAGTATTTTCCAATGCCTAGTGTGTCATGTAGTCATTGTTCACATGCTGTATGTGTGATTATGATCTAATATGTTTTTCTAACTTTTTCTGTACCTATTATTTCATAATGTGGGGAAAAAAAGGGGGGGGGGGGAGTGGGGTGAGGATCCATGAAGTTCCAGACGTGAAAAAAATTTTAACATAGAAATAAAGGAGAAGGCAATACATGCATCACTCTTACTTGCTTAGTCTCTCCTCTTTTACCTTGGAGTGTAGAGGTTTGCCAGAGAGATCGCCAGATGTCTCTATCAGCAGTTGTTTTTTTTTTTCTGGCTTTGTTCCATTCCAGTCCTCTGTCAGTTAGGGACTGTCTTATGTTGTCTTCCCAGCGCACCCTGGGTTGTCCTGGAGGTCTGGGTCCGTGGTTCTTAGCCTCCCATGCCTGCCATGGTGGCCGATTTTCTCCCATTCTGCATACATGTCCAAACCATCGTAACTGTGACTGATCCACTCAGGTTTGTAAGGACTGGCTATCAAGATCTTGACGTATTGTCTTATTGTGGACTTTTTCCCTTCTTGTCATTTGGACCACCTTTCTCAGATATCATTTCTGTGTCCTGAAGCTGGCTTCTGTGAGCTGTTGTCATTGCCCATGACTAACACCCATAGGTCAGGACTGGTACATAGATAAAGTGTTAAACATCCATTGTCATCCTCTTGCAACTTTTTATTTTGCTAAGAAACTCTTGGTTTATGGCCTGGAAGAGTCTCCCAGGAGCTGCTTTTTGTGTAGCCAGCTCAGTCCTAATGCCTCCATTTCGGTCTAAAACAAATCGTAGGTATTTGAACAGGTTGACCTACTCTAGTGCATACTGTCTGAAGTTTCTTCTTGATCTGGTGTTTCTCCTCTCTTGAGATCACCATGATTTTAGTTTTAGAGATAGAAATAAAGGAGAAGGCAATACATGCATCACTCAACATGTTTTCTGATATATTAGCTGCTACTGCTCTTTCAGGCTTCGAGCTAATTTTTCATAAAGAAGACACGATGAAAGCTCTATAAGATCATATGGACACTGCAATTGAACAGAGAATCCATACATTCAAAGACTAATTCAGTGGAGGCTAGTAGAGGCATAGAGGAAGATATTCTCCACTGAGGGGAAAACTTAGATGAATGTTTAATCAAGTTACAGCTGGTATTGTTAGCATATTGGCTCTTCCTTGTCTACTAAATAAGTGGACAGAGCACATGTGGGAATGTCCTGAGTGCAGTGAAGTCAATTTTTTTATTCATTCATTCATTCAGTTTATACAGTTGTGAAACAGCTAACCTATTAGTGCTGCAGGACACAGACTTCCCACCTACACTATTACACTGGGCTCACCTATGTCTCAGCCAACCTGATCTGACCACCTGCTTATCACTGGGGTAAACCCCCGGCCCCACAATGCCTGTTGACGAAACTGCATTCTTTTCAACGGCCAACAAACCCTGATCACAATGGATTCCTCCTGCTGGTAAATCTAAGGTGCTTGATCTTTATATCAGCCACACGCTCCATGCAATCCAACAGTTGGAACAGAGGCCTTTACCTAAATCCAACCTCTCCACAGGCAAATAGTGTGCACTCTCCTCCCTCAGAAAGAGGAATGGTATTGTTATAAAATTGGCTGACAAAGGGGGCGCTGTGGTGGTTTGGAGGAAGGATCTTTATATTGAAGAAGCCAGCACCCAACTCAGAAACCCCGTTTTCTATTCCGTCAGAAGGGACGACCCCACAGTCTCCAATAAAAAAAATTCAAGGACATGTTACAGTCATTTGTTTCCCAAGGGACTTCCTAAGCAGGCCAACAATGTACGTATTTTTGACAGTTAACCTGGCAAACCGTGAATGTACTTGCTGCCTAAGATCCATAATCCCAAAAACCCTAGACGCCCCAATCTGCGTGCTCCTGTCCCACAGTGTATCTTTCTGAATTTTTAGATAGTTTTTTTCCAACCGATTGTCACCAGTCTTCCTTCATTTCTTAAAGACACAGACCATGCCCTCAACATTTTGGATCCATCAGGCTACTTCCTGGTAAAACCTATAATCTTTTCCTGATAGACGTATGCTCTCTCCAAATGTCTATTCCTCACTCTGGTAGTCTTAGGGCACTCCAGTTCTTTTTAGACAGGAGGTCCAATCCAATTATCCCTACTACGGTTCTTGTATGCCTTGCCGAAGTGGTACTGACCCTTAACTCTTTTGAGTTCAGTGGTGAGTATTTCGACCAGATCAGTGGGGTCGCAATGGGCACCAAGATGGGTCCATGTTACGCGTGCCTCTTTGTGGGCCACCTGGAATATGAGGTCATTTATCATACCCGGGCAAGTTTCCAGAGGTGTATAGGAGATAATGGATGATGGCGTTGGTATCACCGATATGTCCAAGGTTGAGCTTTACCAATTCATCACTTACATCAACAATATCAATCCGGCTTTCAGATTTACCTCGCTGATCTCTACTACTTCAGTAAACTTTCTTGACATTACGGTTCGCATCGAATGTGGAACCCCTCAGGTTGCGGAGAGAAAAAGCCACTTTAGAAATTTATGAAAAATGCATTAGGAAGAATCGTAACCATCCTAATAGACACCTTATAGAAAATTGGGAATACAAACAAAGAATAAAGCACAAATCGGTTTTACACTTTGTACATGAGGTACAGGACGGATACCACCTCCCAGAAAGACATCAGGGCACTCAGAATGTTGCAAGAAACTTATCACCACATGCTCGCTTTAAAGTTCCAGGAGTCCGGTTGAAATTGGTAGACGAAGAAACTAAACAGTCCGATCCAATCACCCTTATGAACTCATTACTAAAGACCATTGACTTTTACCCCGAAGAATGGATACATGTTTATACTGATGGATCTGCATTCAAAGCTATCATTAAAGCAGGTTACGGAATCTACATAGGTTACCCTGATGGATCTATTGAAGAGATATTTGATGCATGCGGGGAATTCTGCTCAAATTATGAAGCTGAAATAATTGCACTGGAAACAGCAGTATACCACCTAAAGACTAATGGATGTTTATCTCTCAAATGCCCAAAATATTGTCTTCACCGATTCAATGTCTGTTCTTCAAGCTCTGGAGGGCAGTGAACGCTGCAGAACTGACATAGCTAAGATAATTCTAGATGCTGATCAGCTTATTACCTCATACAACATCATAATAGTGATGCAGTGGATTCCAGGCCACTCCGGCACACCAGGTAATGACAGACTGGCAAAAGAAAAGAGCAACACAAGAACAACCACCTACGGCGACAACCGTACAGACAGCAAAAACACTTATAAAGCTATAAACAAAGAGACTTGGCTGAACAGATGGGCCATGGGGGATACTGGAAGAGAAGTTTATAGACACATGGCTAGCCCTGATCCTAACCACAGCATTAACCATTTAACAAGAAGGGACCAGGCCACCATCTTCAGACTTGGAACACAACATACTCCACTCAATGGACACCTAAACAGAATACAGCCACAACATTCCCCAGAGTGCCAGCTGTGTAACTACCCCTACGAAACTGTAGACCATCATCTCTTTGAGTGCCCAAAACTCAACGAGACTAGAAGAATGCTATTCCCTCTGAGACCAGACAGGTGGAACACCCTGTACGGAGGAAAAGAACAGCTTGTGAAAATATGTAAATTCCACTACATGGCATTGGGCCAAAGGGCGAAAGCTCATGCGCCGCTGGATCAATAAAAATAACAACAACATCGATTTCCCGTGTCTGAAGACCACGACCTACTACAAACCCACAGATTCTCCCAGTTATCTTCTCTATACGTTTTCTCACCTACTACAATGTAAAAAATTATATTTCGTATTCACAGCTCCTTCGACTGTGCAAGTTGTGCTCTGATTATTCTGACTTCTTTGAAAAATCAGTTGAACTTCTTGATTTCTTCCCTGCCCGTTTATTTCCAGAAAACATTCTACAAGAGGCACTGAACAAAGTTTTAACAATCACCAGGAGGGATGCT